TAATTTTCCAAATGATGACACGTAAGTTATTATTTATAATTACTATGATGTGTAGTTTAAAAGATTATTTTCAAACTGCAATGTAAAACATTATCACTTATCACTTAATAATCTTATTCTTTGTTAAGAATTAAAAATTTTTATAAATTATACATTTTTGTCATGCAGTTCCAAAATATGGGCCCATCATTGTGGTAGAACAGATCTCCTGATGAAATCCAATGAAGAGTTGCATTTAAATTATTATATATGTTCTCATCATATAGAGGATCATTATTATATCAGTAAAACAGATCCTGTCATAATAGACCAACATGCTGTTCCTACATTGTTTGAATCACATACCATTGTAGAAAAGAATTCAAAAAACATCTTTGATCAAAATGAACAAACAGAAGTAACTGACAACGTTGTTCTGTCATACTGTGATATGGATGTTGAAATAGATCAATATCGTGATATTAGTATTAAATTTTCAAATTTATGTAGAATATGTGGAGAACCAACTTTAAATGGTATAGAGATATTTGCAGCAAAAGGGGTAGAATTAAAATTAAGAGAAAAAATAAGTTTACACCTGCCAATCACTGTTGATGTGGAAGATTTACTACCACAAAAGTTATGTGTGAATTGTTATAACAAATTGGAAACTGCACATTTATTAGTTATAACTTCTTTAAGAACAGACATGCGGTTGAAGAGGTTTCTAAACATTAATGAAGAAGTGAGTATTTAAATTTGAGATGTAATGAATATCTTTTATACTATTTGTCAGGCAGCTAATCCACATTATAATATTAAAAACCAATTTATGTATTACTTTACAGCTGAACTATGATCATAGATATAATTCAATAGCAAAAAAATGTTTCTTAGAAATAGCTGAAGAAATGTGTCCCAGTGAAACAACTGAAGTTACATCCATAGAATTATCTTCTAACAAAATTGAAGAAATTTCTATGAATCAAGAAATCACTGCAAAATTTAGTCATTTGGAAAATATTAATACACAAAAAGACAGCTTTGGAAACAGTATAAGAAAGGAAGTGCAATCTGAATTAAATAGTTTCATTGAATCATACAATGAAAAAGATAAAGGACAGAAATCTACAAATGGAACTACAAAAAATTATGCAAATAATCAAATAGAAAATAATGAAATTCATTGTGCTTGTTGCAAGGATACATTTAAAACAGAGGAAATGTTTGAAAATCACAAAATGTTGTGTGGTGAAGAAGAAATAATAGTACAAAAACAAAAAGAATGTAATAGTAATATAAATGATAGAGAGTCTAGTAATGTAAAAGTAATGAATTTTCAATATGTTATGAGGACTTGTAACATCTGTCATGAACATTTCGAAAATGAAAAACACTTAGCTGAACACAAACTTTCATACTGTAAACTTCTCCAGGAAGAATCTTATGAAGTCTCTAGTAAACCAAATATGAATGAAGAACAGGGTGATATTTACAATGATTCTTACAACATTAGTAATATTCCACCAATGGAAACTAATAAAAAATGTGGTCATTGCGATTCGATTTATAATACTAAGAAAGAATTATTAAATCATATTATCGAATTTCACGAAGGGCAACTTTTATTTAAATGTATCATATGTGATAGAAGTTATGAAAAATGGTCTAGTTTAGACGTACACGAAGCTACTCACAGACTAGATAAGCCGTATCTGTGCGATTTATGTGGAAAAAGTTTTAAACATTCCAACAATCTAAGAGGTCATAAGAGGACTCATTTAGACGATTCGAAAAAGAAGCGACATATTTGCGAAATTTGTGGAAATGCCTTTAGATCTAGGTAGTACTAATATCGTAACGTGAATTATCAATTTAATATTGTTCAATACATGTTATGACATATGTATGTATGTGTAATTCAGATTTCATTTGGGTGAACATATGAACCAACATAATGGAAATAAACCTTATTCTTGTGAAAAATGCGGAAAAACTTTTTATAAAAGAATACAACTAAGACAGCATAAACTGTCTCATGGTTTGAATAAACACATCTGTCCAGTATGTGGTACAGCTTTCAATCGAAAAGGAAACATGAATACACACCTTAAACGGCATAACAACGGAGATGGTACATACACGTGTAGTGTAAGTTTATCAGTATTAAAACTACTTTAATAATAATAGTGAAAATTATACGTAAATATTTTTCGCATTTTTAGGTATGTTTGTTGAGATGTAAATCAATGAGTGAGTTGAAGTTACATAGGAAAAAGCATACAGACCAAGATATTATAGAAAGTATAAGAAGGAAATGCAATGATAAAACTATATGGCAATGTAACACCTGCAATAGAATATTTTCAACACGAGCTATGTTATTAAACCATGAACGCATACATAAAGGAGAAAGAATAAGTGTCGAGTGCAATATTTGTGGGAAAAAATTAGCAAGTAAAAATTCTTTAATATATCATAAAAAATCTATTCATTCTTCAGAAAGGCCACACATGTGTCAATACTGTGGAGAATCGTTTGTGTCTAAAGAAGCACGTCTCATACACGAAAGAATACACACCGGGGAACGTCCGTACGTTTGCAAAATATGCAAAATGGAGTACAAGTGTTCTAGCAATCTTAATCAACACATGAAAATCCATTCCGGTGTTAAACCCTATAAATGTACATATTGTGATAAAAGTTTTACGCGTAAGGGTGCTTTAACCGTACACGAGAGAATTCACACCGGGGAGAAACCATTTGCTTGTGAAACGTGTGGCAGAACATTTTCCCAAAAAAATGACATGTTAAAACATACTAAAACACACGATGCGAAATCGTTACGTTGCGAACAGTGCGATGAAATCTTCACGAAAAAAAAAGATATCCTGAAGCATATTGTTTTGCACGAACAGAACAATCCTATAATTCAAGAGTACGTGGAAGTACAACAACAAATAGACTCTTATACTGTAGATATACCATGTTCTGAATTAGAATAATTCTTTCTTGTACAAAATAAAATAAAATTAAGTAATACGTGGTAAAAGAAAAAGATATATATTTATATTACTATTGTATAGTAAATGTACATTATAACCTATTGTAATACATGGCTAA